AATGTTAATAGTAAAGGAGGGGCTACCTTTGACTCACTGTCAGATGCTCTTAAATCTATGAATGAGAATGCTGCAGCTGACAATTTAGATCAAAAGAGTAAGTTGATATCACTGATTGTATTAGTATTGACTCTGTGTGTGTATTCTATAGAACGTAAAGCTAAGGCTATTGATATATTCAACACTCATCATCCACTCCTCTCTCAGTCTCTCTCTGATCCTGTCAGTGTAGCTATTATGCTTCAAAGAGAGAGTGTCATAACAGGACAAGTATTAGATACTGTTGTATCAGCTAGTCCCTCTGTTCCTAATCAGCGTGAAGTCCTGTTAGGTGCCATTATAGTAGCTATTGAAAGCAAGTATAGTTTACTACAAACATTTGCTAGTGTATTGTGCAAGTTCACTGGTAATGTAAAACTAGGAACAGTTATACAAAGAGACTATGGTGAGCTAGCATATTTTGTGCAATGAATTTTATTTTTATTTTTTAGATGAAAAAATTTATTGATGATAGTCAGTTAGTATCAGATGATGAAGGTACATGTATATCAGTATAGAATATTAACAACTGATTTTTTTATTTTGATGATTTTTAGTTCAAGAACCTTTTGAACTTTCTGATTCCAATAAATCAACACCTACCAGTGGTGAGTGCTAGTCTATTGATTATAGTCAGATTTATTTCTGCAGTTGCTCCTCTTTACATTCCACAATATAAAAGTCAAGATTTTGATGTGCTTTATGCGAAATTTGCTAAAATGTTTTCTAATGTTCGCAAAGTTATTTCTAAATGTCCGCCTTCTTTAGAAGATATTAAGACATTCATTGAAGATTTTGACTCTGACCTTGAAGCAGAATTGAATACAATAAATAATCTTCAAGGTGTCATGCGTCTCATTAGGAAAAAATGCAGTCTTGCTAATATTGTCATCCTTGAAGCTGTTGTTGAGCACTTTGAGATTGATGATGCTCAGAAATACATCGATGATTACAAGAGGGAAATTGATGAATCATGTCGTAATTTATCAGTTGATTTGTGCTTGAATGAACCGTTTGATATAGTTAGGGCCAGTCCTCCTCTTAAATGTGAAACAGCTACTTATGTGCTTGGATGGGAAGCTACTGAGCATAAGCTAAAGGACGTTACGGATATTGTATCGAAATCTTCTGGCAAATTTGTTAAGCTGGTCAACATCAAAAGCATTCAATCCATCACCATCACTTGCTCCTTCCCTCATTCTCTCACTGGAGCTCTCATTATAAAATTGAGTGAGAATCTTGAATTATTAATAAAGAATGGTCTAATGAAGCTTACTGTTGGATACTGCACAATATGGAAGAAACAAAACATAGAAGTATGTGTCTGTAATACTGTCAGTAATTATCATTATATACTTTATTATGAAGGAAATACAGGAACCACTGGAAGAGGAGGTACAGGAGATAAAAGAGCATAATAATTCATGTTTGATTATTTTATTATTATAATCAATAGAGGCAGAAAGAGCTAAAAGAAACTGCACAGCAACTAACAAACATAATTAGTGAAAAAGAAAAGGTACTTTATTTGTTGGTTTTACATGTGTAGGAGGGATTAATACTTCAAATTATTGTTGGAGTGTGTTGTTATATTAGTGTAGCTTTTTAATGAGTTATTACATGCATGTTTCATTATAAAAATATGTACATGTAGGAATTGTATGAAATGAAGAAAAAAATACAAGAACTGTCATTAATGAATAAAAATAAGTTGAGTTATCAACCATTGCTACTGATAATGGTGGGTTTTTATAAAAATTGATTAAAGTTAGTTATTATAGCATAATAGTGTATTACTTAGTTACTGATAGGAGAATCAAAATGAAGA